TATATCAATAAAACATTGTGTTCAACTGATAGCTATATACGCAGTGGTGTTTCATTTTAATCATGGAAAAACCCAGATTTTGGGGGTTTTACTTAGAGAATTTGCAATTTTTTAAAAAAATCAGGATTTTTTATTTTTAAACAGAGAAAACCAGGATCTCTGCTAATGATGTAGGCATTCAGAGGTCTTAAATAATCCAAAAAATGGCATGCCTGATTTAAATAAGTTCACTTGAGGAGGTGTGCTAAGTCAGTTTGAGATTGAGTTAACCCCACCTAGGAAAGGGTTAACCCAATCTCCTGAATACCTGCATGTGTTGATAGTGCAGCCCAGCGGCTGGAAAAGCTCAGCTGCTTTCTCCAGCCCTGGGGCTGCATTATTCTGCCCCCGCCCCCGGACCTGACTGGGCTATTTTTAGTCCCCTGACACTCCTAAGTGGGCAACATCCCACCCCACAGAACTACCAGCCCATCTGATCCCAAAAATACCCCTCTCATAGACCTGCTAGCCCCCACTCAAATGATCCCACCCACTCCTGCCCCCATCCTCAGTTACTATGGGAAGGTGTACAGCCATGACCAGACAGAAGTCTGGTGTACAGCCATGACCAGCTGCAGAGCACTTTAAAAGGGCCTGAACCTGTGAAAATCTGAACTCATTGCATGAGGGTTTAGATGAAGATGTGCTAAAACAGAGCAGCTTCAGCAACTTCTGTCTGCACCGCCTCTCCATCCTGGCACTGTTTTCAGAATGAGAATAGGGAAAGGGAGTGAAGGGAGTTCAGCCTAGGGGTTTTTGGGTCGGTGCTGGAGAGTGAGGTGGGTGGATTGTAACCTCCCCAGTACCAGCTGGCGAATGGCTAGAAGGAGCTTCCTTTGCCACCTTTCCCCCCTCCCATTGTAGAAACAGTGTCAGGGCTGGGTGGGAGGAGAGGTGTTGCTAGAGGAAACCAGCTGCATGCTCAAAGCCTGTAGCTGGATTCCCAAACCCCCAGGACCCAGCAGTGAACTTCTGTTGGGTCCAGGGGATCATTGTAACTCATGGGGCTTCCTGCAAAGTGCCATGAATTACAACAGGGAGCTTCACTTCTGTCTGCACCTTTAGGCAGCTTAAAGAAAGCCACATGAACCTAGACCAGGTGCAGTGAATAGCTATATGCATCTATGTATAGTAAGCGGTGCTCTGATGCTAGTGTCAGAGAAGACAGTGTCTCTGCTAATATCCCAGGAAAGAGAATTTTGTTCTTCTCTGGCTGAGAAAGAAGAAAAATTGAATGAAATGCATAGCTCACAAAGCAAGATTCTATTAATTCCTGTCTGACAACTCTGAAATAAAAATTCCCTGCGACTGCACAGGAAAAAACTATCATGCCTTTGCGAAAAGAATCCATTTTCTTCTCAAATATGTGAGCATCCCAGCACCCTCTTCCTCTCTCACTCTATGGTGAACATGGAGGGTTTTCCATGGAAACCCAAAGGAAGGAAAGAAGAGCTGAGATACAGAGCGAGCTGCTACCTGTTTTCCCCAAATCATTTGGCATCTAGTCCTCATTTTTCCCAGAGCCCTACCCAAGTCCTACAGGATCTACTGGCCATTTGTATAGAGCCAGGTTACATGACAGCATGGATCATACACATCCTTTATTGCCAAGTAAAAAGGCTTAAGGTTTTGGGTTCTTGACGGTAATGGGTTGGTTAATTTCAGATAGGTCCACTTTATACATCTAGTTGTATAGGAAATTACCAGTAGAGAAAGGCTTTTCCCATAAGACTAAAAATGACAAGATAATTACATACAAATGTCACAGAAGATCAGGTTTTTTATTGTTTATTGTTAAAGTATGTTTTAAACATTAGTATGAGAGTATAGGGGGAAGGGAAAAGGAACCATAAACTGCTGAACGTCTCCACTGTATTTCATAATATCAATGAAGACACTGGAAAAGCCAGTCTGCATCAGTGACCTAGCCTGAGCAATGATAAGGGCAAATGGATAGCTGTGCCTCACCAGGGAAAGCACATAGGTATAGGCAGGATGTATGTGCTACTGCTTGGTGTATTTTATATGCCAGAGTACAGAATTCAAAATTTCACATTTAAAAATTTTTTGATACGGTGGATCAAATGAAATCCTTGTACAACCAGCTACAACTCAATTGAACGCATCAGAGCTAAAACTGGCCCTACTGTATTCAGTCAAACTCATAATTAGCAACAAATCCTAAGATCTGAAACTCTTTCAAAGCTTTACTCCCTTTTTGGCAATCTTTTATTGGGGCAATAAGCTGGCACATGACTGCGATATGTCACAGGAAAGTTTAGCATTAAATTTTCATTTTGCACTCACTGGTGTATTGTGAATGCTCAAAGAAAGCATGTCAACCAAACTAGACTTTGATTTGTATGGGTGAAAAAGAGTTTCTCTTCTCTTTAGTTTGAATACACGTTACATGCTCTGTCATGAGCTCTGCTGTGTACACAGTGCCACAACATGTGGTGATAGTTACACATTTTTTTTTAAAAAAGAAGACCTACAAGAAAAATCTGATTTGAAAAACCAAATCATTTACATTTATAAAATGAATGCAGACTATTGTCTTACACACCGCTCTCTGGAAACACAGTGTTCTTCATACAGTTGAGAAAGTTGAGACTTTTTGTTCCTTATGTAATTCTCAGACTACCACAATCAAAGTGATGATCTTAGCTCTATAATATACATTTTGCTAGCTTCCCCACTCCCTTTTTCTCCCCCGCCGCCACATTTTTAGCATAGAGAAACAATGGATTTAGTTTTTGAAGCTGACAGTTTCATGTACAGCTTTCGGGGTGCAGGAAGGAAGGAACAGGGTGGTGGTTCGAAGGGATACAGCTCATCCAATAATGCTTAACTTTGGGCTGCTGGTTGATATGGAAAGGAGGATGCTTCAGCATCTTAAAAGAGATGTGGCATTTAGAAATTTGTAAATGACAGCCCTCTTTGTTCCTGCAGCCATCAGTGAAGATACAGCAAAGGAAATGGAGGAGCTGCAGTTAAGCATTTGCAATACACAAAGTCCTTGTTTTCCCACTAGGCACTGCAGAATAGCAATTGTCCATTCACAGCACATATCACATCCTCTGCATTTCAGAGCTAATATTTTTGCAGTCCTCAAGTTGCTGTATCTGAGCCTCAGACATTTAATTTGTTCTTAACCCTTTGAAGTGCACGAGTACATTCATGTTGTATCTCTCATCACATAACCTTAATATAATTTTAAAGATGCATTTTCTGTAAAATTAACAAAAAGGTGGTCAAACTGTGGAGGTTTTATATGCACAGTAACATTTTCAAACGGCTATGTATCATCTGTCATTTGATAACTTAGGAAAACCTGAAGATAGCAAGCAATGAACTGACGAAGGAATGCATAGGTAGTCTGTATTTTAGATTTAATTAGCAAAGGAATGTTTTTAAACACACATACACAGGCTCTTGGCAAGTAGCTCCTCCTCTTGCATGCTAGAATCACACTCTTGAAAATAATGTTAGTTTTATGTTAGCAGTTACTCGTGTTTCCTGCAGCACACAGTGCTCACTGTAATGCTACAACAGTCATTCAAGTTAAGTCACAGCTTGAAGATGAATTGAAGCTATATGTCATTAAAGTGCCATCAGGCTGCATTAGTTTAGTTCTTGATTAAAATTCACTTTAATTAGTTAGCAAGAGCTGCAAGAAAACTGACGATGATAAAATGCAAGCAGTTTTGTTCTAGCATTCTCCTTCTAAATTTTTGCGCAGGCTTCATCTTAATTTCACATTTCTAAATCCAAACCATTTAAGACACCCTTAGCATGTAGCAATAAAACGATGTGGAACATATCGTCGCAAAGAGTTATGCTGCTATTCTTTCCTATTCAGTATATTTGCTCCCAGTCATCTTTTTCCGCTCTAAACTCAAGCCAACTCAAAAAAACGAAAAAGAAAAAACCCAGAGATTGGATTGAGTTCCTCCTTTCCTTTACCTCATCCAACTAAGCTAACCAAGTCCAAGGTCTTTGCTCGTGCCATTGAAATGTAGGACTTGGGACAGCAATCTCACTTTCCTCAGTAGGATCATACAGTGATACAAAAACAGAAC